AAATATTTTTAAGAAAAAAACACATAATAAGTATGATACACTGATGTAATTGTCTATGTTGACAAAATAATATTTTATATGATATAATAAAAGAATAGTTTTTATACACTAGTAATATAAACTATTTTATAGTGATATCTAATTATATTTTATCACATTTTTTTACGTTATAGTAATTTTTAAATTTACTTAATTAAATTAAATCTTAAGAAAAATAATTGGTAGAAATTCTAAGTATTTTCTTACCACATGAAGCCATGCTCACGTTCTTTGCCTTGTCAAGCGTTTGTGCAAATTGTCAGCTTTCTCTATCAACCATTGCTGTTTCACTTGATTGCAACCAATAATTAGAATATAAAGGGTTTAGCGTTTACATGGGTCATATCACTAAATCAATAACTAATGATACAATAATTTTAAATAAAAGTTCAATACTAACGGAAGTTAACGACAAACGACTTGATATTTTTTTAGATTTAAATCTTTATGTATATAAATTTTTTTTAATAATAGACTTACCTATTATATCTAAATACATGATTTAGGTTAAATTTTAAATTCTACTATAATTAAGTATACGACTTAAGTCAAATTTGAATTTAAATTAGATAAAAAAAATAAAAATAAAAATATTATATCAGGTGATCAGAAAATGGTAAAATATTAGGCAATGTTATATGTAAAGGAAAAGAAGATAAATGGATTGGTTTTAGATTTATAAGAGTCAGAATCCCCAACTTTTATTACCCAAATAGTTGACAATTTCTTCGACTGCATAAGAAGAAGGCTAAATTCCTACAATCACCAACTTTTACACATGGTTTTGTTAAAACAGATTTAAGATTTGACTCAATTTTTAAAATTAAAAAAAATCATCTTAAATGAAGCTCTTTAGATTGAATAGAAAAAAAAAATTAGAGAACGATTTAAAAAAAATAAAGTTCCATTATTTATGTATGTCTAAAGTAATTTTTAATACAATATTAATTCTTTTTATATTAGTAAAATGTTTGTGATAAAATTAATTTTGTATTAGTTTTTTTAATATTTTAAGATATCAAAATTATTTATTAAATTATTATAATAAATTTTATTTAACATTTTTAATGCTAAACAATAGTTTGTGAACTTTTTAACAAATGAAAGAAAAAAAAGACAAAATATAAATTTAAAATGGATAAAAAAGACAAAGAAAACGATAAATAATATTTTTATGAAAAGAGATAAAGTTATAATAGATAGAATGAATGAATTTTTGTTAAAAACAATGTTTAATTAATTCTTAATAATATTAACTAATTATGATTTTTAATATTAAAAAAATATTATTATTAAATAAAAATATTTTTTGTCAACTTAAGGCACAAAGACTTGCCAACACAACTTCGTAGCTGTTTGCTTTATAGTCAAAATGTTGATGATTTTCATTTTAATTTTATATTTTAAGGTACAAAGACTTGCCATCACAAGTCACAACTTCGTGCTAGAAACGTTCCTATTGTCAGCAACCTCTTCTGTACTAAAACCAAGTAATTTTTTTTTTTATCATTTAATTTTCACCCTTTTCTTAATATTTTCTTTCTTTCTTTTAAAGAATGAGTCTTTGAGTTTGATTATTTAAAAATAAAATTAGTTATTTTCATTTTTAGTTCTCGTATATTAGTTTATGTGTATTTTTTATATTTTTAATTATTTATTTATATTTAATCTCTCTAATTTTTAATCATGCCAATTAAGTTTTTATTTTAAAATTTTATTCCAATAATTAATAAACCTCGGTTATACAGTATGTTTCTGATTAACTAGTAATACAATGATTCAAAATATATACATAATTAACCATTGAAAGATTAAACTTATGTATAGATTATTAAATTAATATTTTGTCCAAAACTATTCGAACTTGAATAACTTTTTGAATATTTTTTAATCATTTTCATCATAAAAGTTTATTTGATATTAATTTGGCTATTGAAAAAACTGTGATATTACACAACTTTTTAAATAATATTAAAATTATCAAGTTTTTAAATTATTATAAATTAAAGTATAGATTATTTTTTATATTTCAATCTTGGACAATCTTAACATCATAAGAATTTATTAAAAGCCTAAATTAATATTAACTGAATATTTAAGATTCTGAAGAACATCATAGGATTAACGTTTATTTTATATACAAAGATATATTATTTTTCATATTAAAATATTCAGTTTATAAATATACAAAATGAATGACTCACAAAATAAATTATTTATCCACCCTCTAAAAGGATTGATTTATACTATATATGGACTATAAGTACACATTAATACATAGTAAATTTTTTTATCAAATTCCATAAAATTTTATACTTTTTAAGTTTAAATGCATTTTAAATTTTTATAATATTTATTTTTTGTTTCTTAATTTTATTTTATTCCTCGTAAAGTTTTAAAATAGTCCTATAACTACTTAAAAAGTATGTATCTAATCACGCTATGTCAATTACTATTTTGAAATTACATAGAATGTGAGATATATATATATATATATATATATATATATATATATATATATATTTATATTTACATTTATATTTATATAAATGTCGCATTATTAATAAATAATTTTTAAAAATTATATTTATGACAATGGAACTAATGTGTTTTTGAACGATTAAAATTAAAATTATTAAAAGGATTAACAATGTATTTTTATAACTTCATTCTCACATTAAAACAAATTTTAAACAATTAAGATAAATATTTTTATTTCATTTTATTCTACTAATTAATTTTATAGTATTCCTAACAAATTTTAAATTTTAAGTTGATTAAATATTTAATTTTAATAAAGTTTCTTCTATTCACTAATATTATTATGATTTAAATAATATTTTGGTCTTATGATTTTTTTTTCAGTCTCTACACAAAAAAAAATTGTAAACAAGTACTTAAATCAAAAAATATTTTCAAAATAACTTACAATTAAAATTTGTTATATGTCATTATTTTGCTGTTAAATATTTTTATTTGATTCTTATATATGACAATTTTTTTCAGAATAGTCCTTATAACAAAAATATTTAAACTATAAAGATTAAAATAAAAATAAAATATTATAAATTGGGATAATAATGAAAAAAATGTGTTATGTATATAAACTAAAATAAAAAAGGGTTATATTGAGAAATCAAAATATAACTCGTTGCCAAAACAAGTTGCAATTCATTACAAGTTATAAAAAATAATTTACTAACTTTAAATAATATAAATATAAGTTAATATAATTCTGAAAAATACTATGAGAAGTTGAGTGTTTAGTTAAAATTATTTTTATGTTATACTTTTATTATTTTTATATAAATATATTGAAATTAAGATACGGTGGTGGTTCAAAATATAAGCAAACTATAAACTAATAATAGTTTTTGATAAAATAAAAAATATTAAATAAAATCAACTAATTTTCTGAACTAGTGTAATATAGTTATTTTTATTATAATTTTGATACTTTTTTAAAATTAAAATTATATATTTATTTTTAAAATTAATATCAAAATTTAATATAATTTTTTCTATTAATCAATATAAAATTTTAATTTTAATAGAAGCTAACGCTTAAATAATTGTATTTAAGTCTCTTATAAAATAACTCGTCCACCATATATTAAACAAATATAATTATATATTTTAACTTATAAGATGAAGGAATAAAACTAAAAAAGAAATTATTATTATTTTCTCAATTAAAAAATAATAATTTTGTTATTTAAAAATTAATTCATAATATTTTCTTGTAATATTTAATAATAAATGAAAGTAAAATATTTTTTATTTAAATAAATTTTTTTATCTTCTTATAATAATGTTATTAAATTATCTTTCATAATTTATCATTAATTATCATAATAATTTTTAACTTATATTTGATGATAATTTGTTTTTACTTCTATACATTTTTGTTTCATTATAATCGCTTTTTGAACTATTAATTTTGATTCTTATAATTTTTTTATATGAACGGAATTGAAAATTTTATTTCAAAAATCATCAATAAAAAATATATTATGAATAAAAATTAAATAAAAATATAAATATGAGATAACGGGTTCATAATACAATCGTTAAAGACTATTTTAATTTTTTTTTAATTTAGAAAGTTATATATAAATTTTTTCTATTTGAAAATAAAAAATAAGCTTTATATAAAAATTAAAATAATATTTAAAATTATTATTATTAAAATAAAAATAATTTTTCTAAAGTCAGAATATCTAATAATAATTTTTTTTAGATCATAAGCCAAACAAAGATTTTCCTCATAAAATTTCATCTTTTAAAAGGTAATATGTAATAATATTTTAAAGGTCAAAATAATTTATTGAACTCAATTGTATAATAATTTATACATTTATTACTTACATCATTTTTAATAAAATTAAATAATTCATTAATTTATCATAATCAATTTAATTCAAACAAGCCACTGATAACAAAATAAATTTAATCAAATTAATATAATTTTATTTTTATAATGCATTTAATGAATTTATATATTTTAAAATATTATATAGCTGTTATTTTAATACTTTGACTATGAGATAGTCATGAATTACGTTGTAATATAATTCTTCTTAACTTTTATATATCTTTTTAAAAATAATTTATTATCTTTTAAAATTAATGTGAAATAAATATATTAATTTTTCAAAAATAAGTGATAAGTTTTTTTAAAATAAATTAAACTAAAATTGCTTTTAATAAAAATATATTTGTCAACACATTAACAGTTTAAATTTAATTTGTATAAATGAAAAATTAAAAAACCAAAATACTGTAATATAACATCGTTCATAATCATGCATTAAATTACGGCAAGCCTCAACTACAATAGCCTTACAGTGTCACTGTTACACGCTTATCAATTAAAGTAACATTAAAGTGACAGCAACATGTCTGCTCTATATTTCTTTACTTGACTTTCTTGCCCTTTCTTCCCTTCTCTCTCGCACTACTTTCTCTGTGTCAAGTCATCAAACTCTCACTTTTCTTGGTATATTCTACTCTCTTTCACTCACTTCAATTTCTTGAGATGCTAGATTAGTGTCATTATAATTGTGGAATGTATTTTTACTCGTTTGTCATGTGAAAGTTGAAACCCCTCCATTCAATAGGCACCTAAGTTAGTCTCATATTTAATGCTATTGAAGCTATTGGCTTGTGTTCAGTTACAGCATTTGGAAGGAGCAAAAGGGTTGGTACCAGAAATTCACACACTCACAACATCAAAGCTTTTGTCATAAAACAAAAAAACCAAACTTTTCCTGAATTGGGTTCGTAGAAAATCAGGATCTGCTGCTTCAGTGCTTCACTGTTTTGTCTTCTAGCTTCTTCTGGAGTCTTCTTCCATGGAGAGTAGTAACAAGATGGAACACTATGAAGTGATAGAGCAAATTGGAAGAGGAAAACTTGGTTCAACCTTTCTTGTTCTGCACAAGACTGAGAAAAAGAGGTGAGACACTTTCCCTTTTATTTTTCTATGTCTGTTCTCTGTAATTGCTCAAACCATGCAACATGAACTCTTTAAGATCTTTTTTTGGACAAAATTGGACGCCCCAGAAAGAAATTTTCAATCTTTTTGGGATTTTAGTGGTCAATTGTTGGAAGAGGATTTAGCTTTTCACAATGGTCATTGAAGAATCGATTTTCAGTTCTGAAATGGACCACCCCAGAAAGGAAAATTCTGTTTTTGGGATTGAAAACCGTGCTAATTCTATAGCAGATTTGCTTTTCAGCTTCAGTTCTTATTCCTCTTCATGTTGATTTCATCTCTCTGGTAGGTATGTGCTGAAGAAGATTCGCCTGCCCAAGCAAGCAGACAAGTCCAAAGTGACAGCGCAACAAGAGGTTGGTGTAACAATTTAACAAACCCTTCCACTTAGTGCGTGTTTTCAGTGTCTTAATGCAATTATTTCTTTATTAGTATTATATTTTTTTCTTCTCTCTATCCTAGTTGATCGTGCAAGCTATTCTTTTATGCAAATTATCAACACTACTGTTTTGGTTCTCCTTTACTTTTAAATTTATATTGTTGCTGTTTTAGATTGGTTTTTAATCTGTCCCATTACCAAAGAATAAATTGTAAAAATTGATCTATTATTTTTACTTCTCAGTATATTTATCTTCCATGATGATCTATGAAAATGCCATAGCTGGCTATGCTTCATTCCTGCTTCAGATAAACCAGTCATCTCAATATGAGTTAGCTCCAGAAGCAACATTTCTGCTGCACAGAATCATAAAAGACTAAAACCTATACTTGTAAACTCAAATTGAGTTTACTTTCATTTGATGAAATCTTGTAGGTGCTGTGCTACTCATTATTCATTGCTGTCTTTTGAAGTACAGATTAAACTTATACTCTAGAGTAGAGGATATTTGATTTGTGAATTATATTATGATTACAAAATGTTTGAGACCATGCGATATGGCATTTTGTTGTAGTCAATCACCATCTGAATTTTGAAGCTATTTTTCTATAATTATAAGATAATGTTTTTAATAATAGTTTCACTGGTAAGAGATTCCTCTTCATGGTTTTGGATTTTCTTATAATTTATTTGTACCTTCTTAGTTCTGAGTCTTCTGACCAAAATATGGCAATTTCATGTCTCTTTGTTTCAGATGGACCTGATAGCAAAACTAAATTACCCTTATATTGTGGAGTACAAAGATGCTTGGCTGGAGAAGGTAAAGACGCAGTCTGTCTTTCCTTTTTTGTTTTTATAATTATTATTCATATTTTTATATAGAGATGAAAAACTAATTTTGGAGTTTTATAGAATGTATAGGCTTATTTGAATGTTCATATTTCAATGTTCTGCAGGAGGACTATATATGCATTATAACTGGCTATTGCGAAGGAGGTAACATGTAAGTACAGTAATATCTAATTGGATAATATACAAATTTCTATCTTATACCAAAGCTAAATTGAACTCTATTCTGAGTTCTACCTGAGTGAAAATGTTGTTTTATAACATCAATTACTAGACAGGACAAGTACTGAACTTTAGATATGTTCAATTTAATTTTAGTACATTGTTAAATAAACTCTTGACCTAGAGTGATGCCTAGGAGGAACCTTTATACATACTCTAGAATATGAGTGATTTGTAATACGTAATATGGACATTCATATAGTATTCTTGTTTGATTGATTAATTTTTTGCAATAACCTAAATGACCTTTCTATTTTAATCACATTTTCTTTTTGCTATTTATTTTAATCACATTTTATATTAAAAAGATTACATTCATAACATCAGTAACTTTAATCACATTCTAAGATTGAAATGAAATTCATTGGATAAAGGCTTTGTGATCCCGTGATTCTCATATTATGTGTGCACAGTACATTTATGTGACACTTGGAATCATTATAATCAGTTACTTAAAGTCTAAGTAATGGAATACTACATTCTTGTGGAGCAGGGCTGATAATATAAAGAAAGCTCGAGGATCTTTTTTCTCTGAGGAGGTAACTAATAAGATTTTATGTTCCATTTCTTAGTGTTTGTTTGGAGAGGGGACAATGGGAGGAAAGGGAAGGGTTTTAAGTAAATCTTACCTTTGGGGAGCTTTTCCAAATTAGAATTTATGGTGTAAGTACCCTTGACAACCCAACCCCACCACCCCCCTTCCCCAAAACAACAAGGGGAAGGCAATTTTTTACTTAACCTCTCATTTACCCATATGATTTCATTCTTCATGGATTCCTTCTGCTTATTCCTTACCTACTCTGCATTGCCGTTTTCACCTACAGAAAGTCTGCAAATGGATGACTCAATTGTTACTAGCTGTCGACTACCTTCACTCCAATCGGGTGCTCCACAGAGATGTTAAGGTATTACTTCTTCCTAAATCCTGGCACATAAAATTCTTACATTTTGTTGACATTTATGCTACTTCATTTAATTTCAGTGTTCCAACATATTCCTCACCAAAGAAAATAACATTCGGCTAGGTATGAAGGCATTATCCTTTGAATGCTCATTACTTTTGGCTTCCATGTACCATGTTCATTCTCTAAGGAAAATGTATATTGCATGGACAATGCAGGTGACTTTGGTCTTGCAAAGCTACTTATTACTGAAGACCTTTCTTCGCCGGTATAATATATATTAATGTCTTAGCATTTGTCTGCTGCCATCATCAAGAAACTTCTGTTCACTTGTTCCCCTGATAATGGATTGTCATGCCAACTAGTTGATGTTTTTCAACTAAAAATGGATAACTTCTACTTTGTTTCTTTAGACTTTGTATCATTAATGATAATGCTATCAGCTACTTAACTAAATCTAAGTATTGAAGCCTGTTTATTGTTTGCGCCCTTCTCATATCTTTTGTAGGTTGTTGGAACTCTAAAGTACATGTGTCCTGAGGTCCTTGCTGGTACACCTTATGGTCATAAATCTGATATGTGGTCACTTGGTAAGAATTACAAATGCCTGATTCTAATTGACGAAGTCATATGCCACGATATCTGACCTTGTGTAAGAGTGACATCTTTTTGTATGTAAAGGTTGCTGCATGTTTGAAATCGTTGCACATCAACCGGCATTTCGTGCTCCAGTAAGAACAAAACTGAACCAATCTATAAGAGTTTGATGTCATTACTGACAATTAAGTGTCTCCAATATAGTAAGTGAAATAACTTGATGATTGAATCAAACAGGACAGGAATGGACTTATCAACAAGATAAATAGATCTTCCATTTCTCCACTGCCAATTGTTTACTCTTCCACACTGTAAGTAATGTCTTCATGTGAGAATATCTACAAAGCATTTAGAATATATAGTGTATCTTAGAATATTCTGGAATATCTTTGGAAGATCTTATGTACCGAATTAGTCATCTAATGGAGGAAGCAATCGTACAAGTTGTTTCCTAATTTTATTATGTTTTTTCTTATTTAATTAGGGTTATTATTCTTATGTATTCGTGAGCTTGGGTTTGTAATAGTAATACTATCCCAATTCTTGACATAATTTATTTTTTGGAATATAAATAGAACCATATCAATCTCATATCTTTTTATTCATGGTTACGAATTTTGATTGGCGCAATATACACTAGCTTTACTACTTTAGTCTGATTCTCAATTTCTATGGCTGTGGTTGACACTCTGCTTCAGTTTAAAGTTTTAGGGACTCCTAATTTTCCGCTGATTTGAAGCTTCCAAATGCTTTTTGTGATGGGTTTGGAGAAATCTGGGCCTTGTTCTCCTAGTCCTTCAGCCTTGCATCTCTAGAGTTGTCTTTCCAACTATGGTTGTTGCTGACATTACTTTCAGAATTAGTTCTTTCAGTTTTGTTTGTAACAACTAACAACTAACAAGCTTTAGCTTCAAGGGGAGTATTAAAATATCAAGAAAATATCTCGGAATATATTTATGTGTCTTAGAATGTTTTATAATATCTCTGAATAAACATAGAAGTCCATAGTAGTGTTATGTATTCAATGGACATCTAATGCGAGATGCAATCTTGAGAGTTGTTTCTTAATTTTATTATGTTTTGTCATTTAATTATGGTTAGCGAATTTTATTTTACTAGCATGTGCAGTGTGCTTGGGCTTGTATTTGTAGTGCTACATCGGTACATAACCCATTTATTACTATAAATAGAATCGTTGGATTAGTATTTCGTATCAGATAGATACACTACATTTTATGCCATTACAACCTAAAATTGTACTATTCAAGATCCTTGTCCTCTCTTTTCCTCTTTCACTACCGGCACTTTATAATTTAAACACCGCAGTCACACTGCTATCTTGCCTTTTCCCACTTAAGCTATTGATCAATGATTTAAACATTTTTGTTAAAAGTTATTATATGCATTTAAGTCCAACAAAAGACTTCCAGTCAATCTCTGCTTTTCCTTTTAATATTCCATTGAAATGCTAAAACTGAAGCTAGAAGACTTAATATGTTAGTAATGTGTAACAGGAAACAACTTATCAAGAGCATGCTGAGGAAAAATCCAGAACATAGACCAACAGTGAGTTCAACTGAGCCTTTCTTGTGTGGTTCATTTGTAAGGAACTGCTCATTCTTACACTGTTTCTCTTTGTTGACAGGCAGCGGATTTATTAAGGCATCCTCATTTACAACCTTTTGTTCTACGCTGTCGTAATGCATCATCTGTTTTTCTACCAGTTCATCTTATAAGTAGTAACTCAAAGGATAAAACAAAAAACAAATCTAGTGGTGGCAATGACCACAGGGACAAAGAAGCTGAACTAGCAGGAATAGTAAATCATTTGGAGCGGGTTTATCCAATTGAGGGAAATGGAGATGTACAGACACGGCAACGGGCTGATGACAGCAAGCTAGCAGTGTCAACAAGCGCAGAAGACAACCCTGAGACTAAAATGGTTGATCCTACCAGCTACACTGTGGAATTTTCTACTAGTATTAGTGGCTCAAAAGATGGTTCAACAACATCTGAATCAACCATTTGCAGTGTGTGCAAGGAAGGAGACTTTAAAAATAGACTTTCAAGAGACACAGCTGACAGCGAGATCACTTCAACAAGTACACTGGATTCTGTGCATGAACAACAAGGATTTGCTGCTGAACATTTTCAGAAGTCATATGCAATTGACATAAATACAGCATTTAAAAATGTTGAAGATACTTTTTCCAACGAAGGTTTCAATAAAGATGAAGCACAGAATGAAGATGCCAAACCAGAGGACTCCAGTAAATCAATTATGTCCAGTGAAGACAGCAACAGTCATGATAAAGATGAGTACGTTGATGAGATCACATCAAAGAGGACACTAGATTCTGTACATGAAGAACTAGGATTTACCGCTGAACATTTTACGGAGTCAGATGTGATTGACACTAATGCAGTGACTACTGAAGTTGAAGATACATTATACAATGATGCTTTTGATCAAGCTGAAGCACAGAGAGAAGATGCCAAACCTGAGGACTCTGGTAACTCAATAAAGTCCAGTGAAAACAGCAGTAGTATTGATAAAGATGGGTTCACTAATGATATCACATCAAAGAGTATGCTAGATGTTGTGCATGAAGAACAAGAGTTTGCTGCTGAAATTTTTCAGGAATCAGATGTGATTGACATAAATGCAGTGACTACAAAAGTTGAAGATAAACTTTGCAATGAAGGTTTTGATAAAGCTAAAGGACCTGAGAGCTCCAGTGAATCAATAATGTCCAATAAAAACAGCAATGGTAATGATAAAGATGGGTCCATTGATGAGATTGGAACAAAGAGAACGCTGGATTCTGTGCATGAATATCAAGGTGCTGCTGAAAAATTTCAGATGTTCGAAGCAATTGACGAAAATGCAGTGAATACAAAAGTACAATTGACTAAAGGATCTGAGAGCTCCAGTGAATCAATAATGTCCAATGAAAACAGCAATGCTAATGATAAAGATGGGTCCATTGATGAGATTGCAACAAAGAGAAAGCTAGATTCTGTGCATGAATATCAAGGTGCTGCTGAACAATTTCAGATGTCTGAAGCAATTGACGAAAATGCAGTGAATACAAAAGTACAATTGACTAAAGGACCTGAGAGCTCCAGTGAATCAATAATGTCCAATGAAAACAGCAATGGTAATGATAAAGATGGGTCCATTGATGAGATTGCAACAAAGAGAACGCTAGATTCTGTGCATGAATATCAAGGTGCTGCTGAACAATTTCAGATGTCTGAAGCAATTGACAAAAATGCAGTGAATACGAAAGTTGAAGATAAACTTTTCAATGAAGGATTTGATGAGGCTCAAGTACATATGGAAAAAGCCAAACCTTTGAGCTCCAATGAATCAATGGTGTCCCTTGAAAACAGCAATGGTAATTATAAAGATGGGTCCATTGATGAGGTCCCATCAAATAAAACACTAGATTCTGTGCATGAAGAGCAAGGACTTACTGCTGAACATTTTCAGACATCCGAAGCAATTGACATAAATGCTGTGAATACAAAAGTTGAAGATATACTTTCCCATGAAGGTTTTGATAAAGCTGAAGCACATAGGAAAGATGCTAAACCTGAAGACTCCAGTAAATCAATGTCCAGTGAAGATAGCAACGATAATAATGAAGTTGGGTCCATAAATGAGGAGCCGATCGTAGATTCTGTTAACATTGAACACCACACTGAAACTAAAAGCTGCTTGAAGGAAAATGAAAATCCTGAAGCTTTTAGAGAAGACTTACACATGGACAGCTCGATTTCTGAGCGTAATGATACACTTCTAGGTGGGAATGAAGGCAGGGAAAACACACACATAATCGGTTGTTCCACACATCAAGATGACAATGCCGTTCTAGTTGATAAGCCACCAAATGGCATTTCAAGTGCACATATATCAGTAAGTGGTGATAAAACAAAGAGTTCGTTGGGTAATTCATGCCAGCAAAGAGCTGATGCTTTGGAATCTCTGCTCGAGTTATGCGCCCAACTACTTAAGCAAGGAAAGCTTGAAGAGCTTGCTGCTGTTCTAAAACCATTTGGAGAAGATGCTGTTTCTGTTTCATCCAGAGAAACAGCAATATGGCTAACAAAAAGCCTCATGACCTCACAAAAGTTTAATTCAGAAACTTAGTTTGTCAAAGTTTCTCATTGTTTATACATCATTGTAAGAAAGATGTGTATTTCCAAATATTATGAGTTTGTTCCTTGAGACTTTTGCTTGATTGAAGATTGGTGGCTGGAAAATAACGTCCTACAAATTCTTTCTTGGTAAATGGTTTATTGTAAATTGGATTAAATTATATTTGAAATGGTTGAATATTCATTGGTGTTTTTCTGTAAGCAATGGTAAATAAGGCCTCGAACTTGAGGTTTTATTTATTTGGTGGACTTGTTTAATAGATATGTTGATTCGCTTGGTTTTCTGGTTATTGCTTACATTTAATTATAATCATGTTACTATCTCTTTGCAGTCTTGTAAATTTTAAATCATTTGCAAACACTTTAGGGGGCTGTTTTGTTTCAGGAAACATTTTCTATTTTTATTCCTTTTCTGTTTTCAAATATTTGAACAAGAAACACTTCAGATTTTTTTTTTTGTTTTCACTGTTTCCTGTATAAATCTTAAAAAACAAGAAATAGAATGAAGATAAGGTGATAGTATTATATTTAAAAGTGAAAATAAAAAAATAATAAATGTTTTTAGAAACCAAATAGGCTCTAAAGTGGTGCTTGGATTATTTTCTGCTTCCATTTTCAGTTTGTTTCTTCTTTTCAAGATGAAGGAAACAGTAAAGACAAGAAACAAAATGAACAGAGTCATATTTTTATAATTGATCTGAATTTTATTTATGTTTACAGCTGGTCTGATGAGATTTCAAAGAACGAGTATTTATTTTTTCTTATCCTATGATGATTGACATGTAACCTCTGTACATTTTTCTTTAGTATATAAGAAAATGTTTCATGAACAATAAAAATGAACTACAAAAACGTGTCTCCTTGATGTATTTTCGAAATTCATGAATACCAGAAAAAAAGAGTAAAGAAATAGAGATGATTATATACGATATTACATGTTATGTTACTTTTCTAATGTTGAAAATAATTAAACTCGAATGAGTGTAGGGGCACACGTGCATGTGTATATATTGCAATTAAGATATGTATTAAAAGAAAGGAAACAAAATATAACAACAAATAGTTCGGAACACAATTGATATTACATTTGCAATAGTGATATGAATACAAATCAATGCACATGAATATCATGTGTTCACTCTTTATTCCATATAGGCATATATAATAATAAATAAATAAATATAAATATCATTGTTCCTTAAGCTGCATGTGGGTGCTCTCACTGTTTAGTGGAACAAGGCAAGGAAAGACAAGACAGAGGCACCAACAATGGAGCCAACAAGAGTGGTAGAGGCAGCACTGCTAGGGCCAGGGGCAGGTGCAGGCACCTCAGTCTCTGTGGCAGCCATCACTGCACTCATGGAGGCAGCAACAATGAGAACAGCACAGGCAACCTTCTTGATGGCCATTATGGATGAAATGTGTCACCTTTTTATTAGAGACCCGCTTGTGGTTTTGTGATGAAAGCAAGTGTGTTTGTTTTATTTATGTTTTGGTTTTTCTTGCAGGTCTGAGGTATAAGAGGGTGTGGGCATGGGATTTATAGGGTAGCTCTTGGACTTATTTTTGGTAAAATCACTATTTGTTTGGTTGTGAAATGGTCTTGCATGTGTGGCTTTTGCATGGTTTTAGGGCTGCTTAATTGGCTTGTGTGACAAGTGTTAACAAATTTCTAATATATTTGTGGCACAGAAATTGTCAACCTGTTGCTATGCTTGTAAACATGTTGAAATAGTCCATTCAACCAAAAACAGAAAACAAAAGCATAAATAGTAAATATCCATCCTCAAATGGCCTTTACAAATTGGATATTTTTTTCTTATTAGTCATTTTTCTGAGTTGAATTCTTCTAATGTAAATTATGTTCCTTGATGCGTTGTCTGTTTTATTTTATCTTTTTCTTATATTTTTAACCACATTTACTTCTCAGGGTGTGTTTGATAAAATTAAAAATTTAAGTGCAAAAACTCACTGTTTTTTATTAATAAAAACGACAGTACAAATTTCTAAGTTTCAGATTTTATTTTAAAAATGCTGAAATTACATGATGGAAAATTATTAACATTAATGTAATGAAGAACATAAGTTAAAGACAATTATTGTTTTTGATAATAAAATAAAAATCTTAGATATTACGAATTCACTTAATTTCCTTTTAACACAATAAACGATGGTGTAATATTTATATCTATATATTTCTATATACTACTACATTATATGATAGGGGGTTTATGTGAGGTCAGTGTAACATGTTGGCAATGTATGAGTATTTTTTTTTCTTTTTAATTTATCAATTTTATTTAATGTATGTATGTATTCTATTCTCACATGAAAATAAACTCAAGTCAAATCATAACTATTTTGATTTGATTTAAGTGATAATGTATCCGTTGTTTTCTTTTAAGAATATTATTTTTAAATATGTTTAAGAATAGTAAGTTGATTATTCTATTTTTCAAAATCTTAACATACTTCAAATCTCAATTATATTTTAAATAAAAATATAAAAAATCATTTATATTACATGTACATCTTTAATCTTATCTCAAAGGAAAAGCATACATATTTTCGTGTTTTTTTTTTCTTTTTCCTATTCTCGGTATATTTTTCGTTGCGAAGATAATAATTCAGTGATATAAATCGAAAACAATACGTCATAAATTTCATAGAAAAATAAATGTCTGTTTTACTTCAAACCTATCTCTTATTAGACATATGGAATATAAGAATGATATATAACCAAAGGTTAAATTAATCCATAGGTTCCTGGAAACCATTTGAAAATTTTTAAATAAATTATTATATTTTAAAATTTTATAAACGTTTCTCTGAAAATTTTAAAATATTTTTTTATTAAATTCTTGGTCATATTTTCGTTAAGGTTTCGTTAGGATTCTATATTATGTAAAGGGACCTTATTAAAATTTTTCCAGTAGTTCAGAAACTTATTAAATAATTAAAATGGTGATGTGATCCTTGAATTATTTGAAGATTTTCAATTAAATTTCTGTACTTAACAGAACTCTAACACAATGACACAATTAAAAATAACTTCAAAATTCGCAGATGCATGTAATTATAATCTTTAAATAATTTAGAGATCTATGAATTAATTTAACCATAAACAAATTAAGATACACAATTTCTTAGATAGCAAGCTTTTTTTTAACACTTTTATATTTTCCCTTGCATGGTGTTAAGCTAGCTATAGCTAGTGATAAAAACAAGCTTCGAATGTCACATACTTTGGATGAAGCTCTTGTCAGAAAAAGAAAAGATACAATTGATTTCTTTTGGTGGTCACATTACTTTGTTAATGTGAAAAGAAGAAAAACTTCAAGTGGACGCACACTATGTAACATTGTAACAAGAGAGGGAAAGCAACAGAAAATCTTCGAAATGTTGTCTCTATTTGATTACTCTATTTGTGTATGCAAATTGCTAAACAAATTCCTCACAATAAGCATTTGAATTTACATGGCACCAGAGTAACTTCAAGTGGATTTATCATTGATTCTAACCAAACGTTCAAAATAGTCCAAATTAAATTTTGTCATTTTTATATTTCTTGTTACATCTCCAATGGTGAATGGCTACATGTATTACTCAAGAGTTAACAAAACAAATAATGAGAAGAAAAAAAAAAAATCCTATTATTAGTTTATTCTCAATTGCCAAATGAAAGTTAAGCTCTAGATCCATCTATTTGCAAACCATAGACTAAGCCTTTTTCTAAAAAGATCATAACCGTTGCCATGTCAAAGGTGCTTCAGATGGGTCGAAAGAGAGTTTCCACCAATTGCAATGAATTGAGAAAAGATAGCTTGCCTAGTAATCCCTTTCACATTCCTTTTTACTCTTTTTTTCCCTTCCAAGTAACCAACAACACAAAAATGTTTATGAATCTAAACTTGTCAATTATCCAATCCATCAGGGAAACTCAATGTAGGGTGTACCATAAATGGTAGTTACTTGATTGTTCCTATATATAACTTTGATCTAAGGGGTTCTTTGAGGATGCTATGCCACCATGCACCGACTAAAGTATTTATTGGTCTTGTGGGGTCTTAATAGCTTTAACCAAAAAGGATTAGTAAAATTAAAAAATGGCTATTGTTTAATGTACCCTTTTACCAACTTAAAAGATTATGACATTTTGATGTTACCCTCAACAATTTTCCCTTAAGTCCTATATAAGTTCAATTCTTGGTTCCTCAATTGAACAATTCAGTTGCCAACCAATACAAATATTTCTCTTCACTCTCTTTTCTCCATTTCATTACATTAAAATAAATATATTATATTCTTTGGAAATGGCATCATTTGGTAGCTACAATGCTAAAACTTTGATGGCAATAATGTTTGTGTGCTTGTTTTGTGTGACCAAAATTGTGGCACAGGATTCAGAGATTGCTCCCACTGGTCAGTTGGAGGCTGGAGCTGGGTTTGCTTTGCATGTTTCTGAGGTGATCATGTGTTCTTCTGTGTTGGCATCTCTTGTGGCATTCATGTTGCAGTGAATTGGAAAACTATGGCTTTGGAACTTGCTGGGGGTAATCTTACTTTGTCTTGTGGGTTTAAATCCCACACATGCTCTATGTTTGCTTGTTGAAAATGGTACTTCTATTATTTTGCATATTGTAAGATTAGCTTTATGATGAGCTACACAGTATGTAATTTCGTACTCAGCTATTGGTGTGAGCTGATATATTAATGTAATCGTTATGTTCCTTGTAATTGACGAATTTTATTTTTTTCATTTTTCAAATTCTTCAGAACTGATTTTCTTTTTGCATACTACTTAGAAGTGTAGTCCAACTTTGTCCAAAAATATGACATTTAAACAACAACGATTGGATAAGTAATAAATTTCAATTTTACTACATCAGGTCCTATTATCTATCTAGAGGCAGAAGAAATTATATAAAGTAAAGAATTGAATTATTTTGTTAGAATAAAGTATTAAACTTACAAATTTATCCTTTAATAATGGATCTCCTTATTATTCTTCGACCACTCAAATAGTATATACGAACAAAAAGGCACTAGTGAAAGAATAGCAATTGATATTCCTTGAACTTCGACACGAAGTTATGCAATCATGTGTTTTTCTCATTTTATGACACAAATCTTCTTAATTTCAATTTAAATTAAATCAATTTTATCTCTTTTATTTATTATCCAATCAAATAAGATTTTCAATTTCCTTATTTATTTTTATCAATACTTAATTTTCTTCTCTCAACATTAAGTATAATAAAATGCTTATATTTATTTTTATCAATAAAATAATTTATCTTTCAAAATTTTTAAAAATTATATATATTTTTCAATATTTCACATATATTTATAAGATCATGTAATGCATGGAATGTTGCCAGTTATGCTTCAACAAGGAGGTAAATTTTCTATTATTCTATTGAATGATATATACAATCTGTTTCTCTATTTTTTGTACTGATAGTAGTTAGTGATCACAATGTAACATTGTACAAATTGATGCTATTGGCTGACACAGCAACAACCTTCCTTTCAACTGTTATAAACATTGAAAGAAAATGTGATGATAAAGAGCACTGCAATGTTCAAGAAGCAGTGCCTTTGGACTCCTTCATATCCAACTCATGTTCTGCTACCATGATGCAAGAATCTGCTTCCAATGATGAGAGTGAGGTCTTGTCTTTGGTTGAAAGTTCCTTGGCTGGATTGAGCATTTCTGTGGTGCACTGAACATCTGGTGTTATTCCAACCTGATCAATGTCATGAAGAGCTGGTGATAGATACTTTGCTACTGTAACAAAGAGGGCTGACCCATCATGAAGCTCAGTCACACTCTGAAATTAGAATGATAATTCCCTTGATGAACCAAGATATGACAAAATGGAACTAACTTCACTGTTTAATTTGAAATTCATTTGGATGAAAACGCATATATTACAATTGCACCTTTCTCTTTTGTTTTTTGGTCTCTACAATTGCTCCTTTCTGAGAATGCAGTCAAAATGGTTTTTAACTATGAATCATTTCAAAGAATGCAGGGTTGATATCAGGGCCGGCCCAAGGGCTTTTAAGGCCTTTAAAATTATTTTTTGATTAATAAATTTTTTTTAAGAAGTAATAATTATTTTATAAATAATATTAATTTATTAAGCTTAACTGAATATATTTTTTTTATTGAAAAAAGGACTCTCATTTTATAATTTAACTTTTCTAAAATGAAGTTATAGTCATGATTGGGTACCCATTAAACAGTTTAATTAACTTTTATTCTGTAAGTTTTTATGAAGGGTCTTATGACATAAATTTTGATAACAAAACTAATTGAAATAAGCTTAAAGGAAACTTATTTTGATAATTTATACTTAAAAAATTTATTGAAATAATTTTTTTTAAAAAATTTAAATGAGTCATAAGTTATTTTCATAAAATCTTCAAAAAAAATTCTACATGCTTTCTAAAAGTATTGATTTCATTAATGATTGAAGAAAATGTTAAAAAAATTGATTATATTATTTTAATAAATAATTTTACATTCTAAAATTTTGAACGATCATTGAATACTTAAAACATGTAGGTATGGTTATTATATAACAAATAGAATAATGGTACCTGAATCTTCCCTTTACCAAATGTTTTGTGCCCCACAAGAATAGCTCGACCATTGTCATGTAATGCCCCAGCTAAAATCTCGCTGGCACTTGCACTTCCCTCATTGACCTGTTAAGGATACAAACATTGCAATTCATTAAACTATTCATGAAAGTACCAGTAATTTTAATGCTTATGAAAAACAATAATGTGACAAGCTTATGTTCATAAACAAAACATAAAACTTGGATGTTAATTGGGTTCATGTTAGGTTAGCTCTGATAGTTGGACATACTTGAATAAAAGAAACTAATAAAGTTTGTTTTGCAAAACAGTAACATACTTGAAAATATACATTTATGATACAATGCAACAAAAAGAATAAGTACTTAATATTTATATGCAAATGTAACATCAAATACAGCAGTTATTGTTCTGTTGCTTACTCAAAGATTGTAGAATTAAAAGGCATAATCAATGATATTAAGCAACTATAGTTATTACTCACAATCACCACAAGTGGATCATGTGTTATAGCATGTCCATCGACCATATTAATGGGTAACATGTTCCCGTTTCTATCAATTGTGTTGACTAGAGTCTCATCTCCATCTAACCACATCTGTGCAACATCAAGGCCAGCTTTTACCAAACCACCCTGCAACAAAATTACAGAAAATTAGGGGAAAATTGTTCTCTGTTACTTTATTCCAATGATCAGGTAACAAGACTATGAGTATTTTCATCAAATTAGTAAATTACAGGATTGTTCCTTAGGTCTAGTATGTATGAGTGTACTCCTTGATTTTCCATTTCCTGAATAGCATTCTTCATGTCTTCAGCAGCAGTCTGTCAATTTGGAATAGGAATTTATATATAGCTTGAATGGATAGCAGTTGTAGGAAAATATTTAAATATCTTCTTTCAAGCTCTTGCTAATAAGTTTCCTTAAGACGCTAGTCAAGAAATCAATGATAGAATTTCTTTTGCTAAAGATTGAAAATCATGGTGAGAGTTCATTTAATATATTTTAACTAAACTTTCTACTTTTAATTCTTTCACACCATTTGCCTTTCTTTTAAGTGTATATTCAGTTCAGTTTTTTAACAAACAATTCTTTCTTCTTTTTTTATCAGTTTCTGGAGAGAGCTTTATATTCCACACAAAGGCTGTTTCAAACACATATTTGATGCATAATTTCAATTTTATTTTATACTTGACTCTTTGTTCTTCACCTGAGAGAAGGCTGACAATTTCACATAGCCAGTTTTTGTGAGATGCCCATCTGGGGATCTATGAGGGATAATAGCACTTGATAAAGGAGAGAGCTTGATATGCTCCCTTGGAAGTTTGACCTTCAAGTATAGTATTAGATCAGCACAAAAATATAGTGAATTTTGAAGTTCAAATAAAAGGAAAAATGATTAGCTAAATGCTCATGTATAGCATAACTAAAATAAAAGAAAAGTTTTTCTAACGGCTCAATGACACAATAAAAACTTATTTATAACGATTTTTATTAGAAATTATAAGATATCATAGAATTTAATATATTGATAAGATTAAATATTATAATTTTTTATTATGTATTTTTAAAAATATACTAGAAAAACTGAGAAAAAAATACAGTTTTTAAGATAGGCTCAATTGACAGAATAAGAACCTATTTATAATAAGTTTTTTTATTACGATATCACAAAATTTAATATATTGATAACATTAAATGTTATAATTTTTAATAAAAAAATAGTATTTTTTTTTTTTTTGTGTACTCTTAAAAATACGTCAGAAAAACTGATAAAAGAAAGAAGTTAACATTTCAAGAATCATAATACCTAAATTGTCAACATTACCTCTCGGATACAAGAGTCAGTCCCAGAGTCTTTGACCTGGTGAAGAAAAAAATTTAAATTAGTATCTAGAAAGCTTTGTAAGAAATGAAAGATTTAAGCTATTTACAAAAGCATTCTCCATCATATGCTACTGTGCATTATTTGAATATATGAAGGTTGGAAATTACCCCCACCACCCTAGGAAAATAAAAAGAGAGTTGAAAATTGAACTCTCAAGTAAAAGACATTCAATCCAAAATACTTGTCTAAGGCATAGCTCAATAATTACAATAATGCTTATATTAAAAATGGAAGTATGATAATTATACAGTGAACCTTTACTGTAACAGTTGTTCCAGCATTCCCTCTTAGCCTTTGTGCTGCAGTTTCACTATCAATGCCATCAAGCTTCTCCCCTGCAGAATCACATTATTATCAAACAAAAGCTAATCACTTGATTCACTTCATAGACAAAATCTTTAATTCCCAATAAAAATTTATTGATATCAGCTAGAAATTTATGAATCATCTAAAACAGAAAATTCTTCAGACTTCAGAGGAAGAGACATAAGATGAAATTATATTTGTTCCAAATCAAGAAAGGGTATTAGCTGTGACACTTTTCTACACCATTTCAGTCTTAAGCACTATCAATCATGCAAAATTTGGCATCTATGCAAAAGTCATAATAATGGTTTTCTATGATAAACTAAAGAAAACTAGACCTAAATAGCTTCATACATTAAAAAAAAAATATAAGTACCGTTTATTTCAACCAATTCATCTCCTTGATGTATACCAGCACGAGCAGCTGGACTACCATCTATGCATGACAAGACAACCTGGGATTTCAATTGAAAAAAGTCATAATTTTGAAAATCAATATAGGTTCATTATCAGGTCATCTTGAGGGATAATATTATCATTTTACAGAAAAAAAATCATGAAGCAAAACATGGACGGTTCCATGACTTGTTGTATCTAGTTCTTGATGCTGCCAATAGTTTTAAGGGTCTTGATAATCAGTGTCCTAAAAGGTGGGGTTAAAAAATTGAGAAATAGAAAGCTTTTATTAGAAATTATGTTAGGGGTGCATCCAAAATTATGAAAAAAGAACATTGTTATACTTTCCAACAAAATTTTTTCATTTTTAATTTGAAAAATGTTAACCTGAGTCCTTTAATAATAGTAGTTTTATTGAAAAGATAAACATTTACTATACTTTTATATCTACCATTTATGAATACTTAAACTCAGTACTTAGTCCTAAGGATTAAGGTTAACTAAATCCTTAATTTTTTAGTACTTGTTAGCATTTACTTAATTTTAAATAGTGAAACGGAACAACTACTTTACATTTACAAAGGGCAGGGGTCAATATCATAATTAAATGACCTTAAAACAATTAGCAAATAATTTGAATATGGTTTGATTGCTGAAAATTATAGGAAGAGTTCTTTGCAAGTGACTGACCAAATGTCCTGTCCTTGGTTCAACATTTATGAAGAGGCCCACTCCTTGTAAGTTCCCATCACTTCCAATTCTAAACCCTTGGTATTCCTGTGAGTTAGGAAACACTGTTAAACTCTTAACTCCAAAACATGACTGCAAACAGACTTGTTGATCTAAGAATAGTACTGATTGAATAGTCTATTTCATAAGGAAGCAACAAACAACACACTATAATAGCCAACATAAATTGCTTTATCTCCCAAATTACTACTTTTTCTAAAGACCAAGAAAGTAGGATTAAGAATCCTGAAAAGGAAGTGTTAATTGTAAGACCTTTGGACTGATAATTCGAGTGAAAGGATCTCCAAGGGTAGAAAGCATTCCACTGATTTTTGTGTATGCTGCATCTGCTGAGTTCAGGGGAAACATTTCCACCATGGTTTGCTGCAACTTCAAATCCCAATCTTCAAATAGAAAAAGTATCTTTTATTATTGATCCATGAAAATACTAATATGCTTTATTATTTATGGAAACATTAGTGGTGGAACTAATGATCAAGAAAAATGTAAGAAATCAGAAATACCTTGGTGATTAAATGTAGGATCAACAAATGTTTCTCGAATTAGACCCCATGCTTCCACTAGAGTTCTTTGAACTGCATTTACCTACCACACAAACCATTTTTCACTCAGCACTTCTCATGTTGAACTAATGAACCAACAAAACTCCAGAATAATTAGTTTCCGTACTTAATTAAGATATGTAGCCTAATACGCCTGTTAGTTCTACGTTCTGAACATAGTAAATGTTTGAATTTCAACATGGGGAAAAAAGTGAATATTTATGGTAGCATATATCAGGGGAGTTGCTGATCACGGATAAATATTTTCAATAACAACAACCAAGTTGTATTTTACTAAGTGAGGATGGCACTCACCGTCATTGAAATGTTCAAAAACTAAGTACTAATCAATATTTAACAATTTAAAAAAATTGCTTGGTATTTGTAAATTTAAGAAAATATTGTATACTATTTCTAAATTAACAACTGTGATTAGTGATAATTGTTTAGGACATAAAATAATTTACAAGGCAATGTAAAAATTACCTTGAAAGAAAGTGATAATTCCCATCGAGCAAAGCAAAGATTACTCAAACATGTACGTTGATTGCATTAATTTCAAACTAGGACGACAGCATAATTGCGATTAAGAATATGATTCTTTAAACTTAAAAATGAAAAAGTAATTTTATGTTTTTGAAACATACTTATTTCAACAATTTTTTTCAAAGAAATAATCTTTTTAAAACCTATTTAATGAAACTGATAAAAATTTAAAATTACATTTTGAGACCAAAAGCTTAAATTGTTTAGTTTTAAAAAAATCTGCATTTAATTTTTTGAATAATTATAAAAACGCCATTTTATTTAATATTTTCAAAAAACTATATAAGAAACCGAACCATACTTACCCCCCAAGCAAAACACAACCAATTAAGTTTCAATGTTAGAAAAAAAGAAGCATTAAACGGGAAAAAAATCTATAAAACGGTGACACATCCAAAAATTCAAACGAGTTTGACTAAATTATCTTAGAAAAAAAAAATTCATTCTAAATGAGCTAATTAAGTTAAAATATTATATTAAAAAAATTAATTTTTATAAATAAAATCACGTTAGTTGACTTAAGGTGAAGTTATATTTTTTTTATGAGATAACTGACACAAATGAACTCAGACAATTGAAATTAAACTGTAAATACACTTATAGATGACAAAAAATGATTTCATTTGACCACTTCTGATATAAACTTCTGCAAATAAAAATGATTTTCAGAGAGAGAAGACCTCAGGTGCCCGTGAAACAGGGAAAGCAACGGTGAGGGACTCAGCGAGAGCGAGAGGCGATTGTCCGAAGACAGAGAACAAAAGAGCAGCCGAAACGCCAAACTCAAAAGCACTTTTGGTGGCAGATTCAACCCACCCTACTTTCTCACCGTCGCTGCACTGCACCTTCAACTTCAACTTCAACTTCAACTTCAACTTCTCCTCCTTCTTCCTATCCCATGATGTCCATGTTCGCAACCACAACCTACGAGGAAACAAAACTTCCCAACTGGGTTTTGATAAAGCTTGAAACCTACTACCTCTTACATCCAATTTGTGACAAAGATTCTTCATTTCCCTTTTTTTTTTTTCTCTTTTTCTTGTTTTTTCTAAGAAAGGAGAGAACAACTAGCTTCGATGTTCGGTGACCGTTAAGTTGTGTATCGAACAGGGGTGTGGACCCCACTTGAATCTTTTTCAGTTGTGGCTATGCTTTGCTCATAGATCCTCTTTGCATGCGTGTACGTATCTAAGTTCAAGAAAATTTAACTCTTTTATTTATTTATTTATTTTTATTTTATTTTACACGAATGATAAAACTAAACAAAAGAAAAGAAAAGAAAAGATTCAAATGACTTACTCCTTCACACGTAACAACCGGTTGAATCTCGAATCAACCATCAATCCAAATACGTCATTTTCGAACGCCTTGTATATACTAATTTTTATTAAAAAATAAGTAATTTTATGTATTAATAAAATTAAATAATATAAACATATTATTTATTAATTTTTTTATTATGTATCCAAAGTTCAGGTTGGATAAACTATACTGGCCAGCAAAGGAGATTACCATTGTAGATTCTAGTTAAAATGAGTTTTGAAAATGGTAGGTCTTCTACAACTCTTCTTTCGAGCTCATGGAATATTCAATATTCCATGATATGTATCTGGCAATCATCAATACATGCAAGTGATCTCTCATATGACTCAAAATTAGCATATTGAATTTCATTTTTAAAAAATATTCTTTTTCTCATAAATATGTTGCATTTATAAATGATAATATCTTACTCTTTATAATTGAAAGGATTTAATACTTTTTTTTACACATGTATAATTCTTACAATTAATTTTATATGATATACAATGAAGTTAATAGTTTAGTTAAAAAAAATATTAATACCCTTACATCTTTAAAAATATTAAAAAAAGCACAACAATTACTTTAAAGAGGGTATCTACTACACTATTAGAAAAACGTTATTTATATACGGATATTACAGAAATAAAAATCTATCTGTAATACAAACGACTTTACAGACGGATAATTGAATATTTTTTTACCGAATTTTTATCTAACAATTTATAGATAGATTTTTCTGTCTGTAACTGTATATGAAAAATTTACAGATAGATATTTAAACTTTAAAAATGTACCATTTCATTAAATTATTTACAAACAGATTTTTTTCATTTGTAATGTGCGAAACACATAAAATTGCGCCTCCTTCTTCTTCCTCATTTTACATAATTTCCTCTCTCTTGCCTCTCGTTGTGTCTCTCTCTAAGAGTTTTAGTTTTTTGACCTTTGCGAGTGATTGGAGCATTCATTTGAAAGATAATTTGCATTATTATATTCCTGATACGATACTCTAACTTTTAATTGGTTTAGTTTTTTTAATTTTTGATGTATTTTAGAGACTTAAAATTTCTAATATAAAGTTGTAGGATTGGAGATTATATGACTTGGGGAGAAGAGCGTAGAGGTCCTTCTCTGAACCTGATTATTGTGTACTATGAGATTGTTTACGTTTGCGGAGTTTGTAGAATATGCATGTTGTGACGTTATAAGGGAGTGTGCTTTAGAACAGTTTAGTATTGTGATGTGTTTGTTTTTTATGCATTGATTAATATATTGTTATATAATATATTAGTTATGTGTGGTAAAAATTTTGATTTTTGTGTTAGGTGTAAATAAACGTAAGGAAATTGACATGTATTAGGGGAGATTCTGCCAAAAATTATATTAAAAATTTGTTTAATATATAATAGATGGTTGATACAACATATGTATTTGTATTAGGTTTATATAGTTCTTCCTCAAGATGTTTCTCAGAAATCGTTAGTGGATATATGATAGGTTGCACCCAAGTCGGAGGGGAATAAAAGCTAAATTCTTTGAAGGTATAGAGGAATTCATACGTGTTTGTTGTAATTCGCAGCAATTCATCACCACCCAAAAAGTTAGGTGTCCATATTCTAAGTGCAAGTGTTGAAATTTTTTGAATATTGATTCAATTAGGTATGATTTGTACAAGTTTGGATTTAAACATGATTATTGGATATGGACTAAGCATGGAGAAGTAGTTAATATGGAAAATCAAGTAGGCAATTTAAATATATTGCAATCAGGTGAAGATGTAGGTAATGTAAGTTAGGAAGAAAGCAATAGTCGTTATGAAGAAAAAGTTTAAGATGTTGGTCCTAAATTTAGAATTTTTCGTGATTTTGAAGTTGAACAAGAACCTAATGGAGAGGCTGCAAGGTTTTATAATCTTTTAGAGGTAGCAAACAAGTCTTTATGGGATGAGTGTGTGCATTCAGAGTTATCTTTAGCAGTAAGAATGTTAAGCATAAAGTCAGAAGGCAATCAAAGTCAGAGTTCGTTTGATCAATGTGCTACATTAATTAGTGAGCTTCGTCCCCAACCTGACTCAATCCCAAAAGACTTTTACTAAGCAAAAAAATTAGTTTCTAAACTTGAATTAAAAGAAGTCAAAATTAAATGTTGTTTGAAAGGCTGCATGCTGTATTACAAAAATGATGCTGTTTTGACCAATTGCAAATTCTGTGGAGAGCCTAGGTTTAAACTAAGAAGAGGCGGTAGAAGTGATAAACATAAAGATGTACCGCAAACTAGAATGCATTATTTGCCTTTAATTCCTATGCTAAAAAAGTTGTATGCTCTAAGCTCAGCTTCTTACATAACGTGACATGTTGAAAATAAAAGGAGTGATGGGATAATGACTCATCTATTTTATGATGAGGCTTAGCAACATTTTGATCAAGTGTATCTTGAGTTTGCATCTGATCCTAGAAATGTAACGTTAGGGTTGTGTACTAATGGATTCACTCCAAACAATCAGTTTAATAAACCATATTTTTATTGACCTATTGTGGTTAAACCTTTTAATCTTCCTCTCAAAATGAGCATAAAAAATCCATATTTGTTCTTAACTTGTATAATTCATAGTCCAGAAAATCTAAAGGCTAAAATTGATGTATACCTTCAATTTTTTATAGATGAATTGAAAGAGTTGTAGTGTGAGGGTGTAATAACTTATGGCATATTAAGGAAACAAAATTTTAATATGAAGGCAGCACTGATATAGACGATTAATGATTTTCCTGCTTATGGAATGTTGTCTGGATGAATGAATCAAGGGAAATTAGCATGCCCAATTTGTATGGAAGATACAAAGGTATTTACTTTTAAACATGGAGGAAAAAATTCATGATTTGATTGCCATAAGAGATTTTTAGATATGGAACATCCTCCTAGGCATTAAGCCTACAAATTTAAGAAAGCAACTGTTGAGAATAAGGATCCTCCTGTCTGTTTAAATGGTCATCAAGTATGAGATAGAGTTAGACACTTAGCGTATGAAGCACGTGTATGTGGACCAGTACAATACAGGTGGATGTATCAGTTTAAACAAGAAATCGGAGAGTTCAAAAGGATTGTGAAAAATAGAGCTCAAGTGGAAGGATTCATATATCAGGCATATATATCAAAGGAGACATTAAATTTTTGCACATACTATTTTAAACTTTATGTTCAATCAAGGAGGACTCGGGCTGGTTGAAATGATAATGGGGGAGAAAAGCAGTAATGAGCCTACTCTATCTATATTCAACCAACCAAGTCGTGCATCTGGGAAATGCGAAGAAAGATGGATCTTAGGTGATGAATCAAATGCCGCATACTTGCACATCTTATTAAATTGTGATGAAGTTCAATCATTCAGAACGTAAGTGACTTGTGATTGCTTTAATGACTTTTTTCCGATCATGGTTATTCAAATCTAATTAATGATGTTGCAATATTTATAGATATTATGAACAATTATATGGTCACGAATGCTTTAATCAATTTCCATCATGGTTCAAAAGTTATGTATGTTTGGAATTTTTCTAACATTTTAGTTTACTGAATTTTTTATATTATTCTTATTCAATCAATTGACATATTTAATGATATATGTAGGTGCGTGATCCCAGTAATGGTATCACAGATACTGACCTATATAACTTATCCAGAGGTCCAAAAGATAAAGCATATTGTTGGCCAATTTACTATGTTAATGGGTATAAATTTCAAACCATTGAATCATGTAAAAGGAAAAAAAAAACAGACAATAGTGGAGTTACTGTGAGAGAAAATTCAACTGATGGTGACTATGATTGGTATGAGAAGCTTAATGAAATAGTTGAGCTTGAATATGCTGGTGAAACTATAAAAAGGATTATCTTATTCAAGTGTGAATGGTTTGATCCAACACATCCAATAAGGACAAGTAGACATAATTATTACAATATAATTGAGATTAACTATACCAAAAGATATAGAGGCTTTGACCCCTTCATCATTGCACAAAATGCAAGACAAATATATTTCTTATTTTATCTTGGAAAATGTAATAAAAGTTGGAGGATTGTAATAAAAACTAAACTGAGGGGTCAAATTGAAAGTGATGAAGTAAATGATGAAAATGCATATCAAATTGATGACTCAATCCCTTCACGTGTAGTAATAGACACTGTTGTTCCTCCAATTTTATCTTCTCCTTTAAATGAAATTGAAATAATTGACTCTCCTACCCAAACTGTAAAAAATAATGAAATAGATTACATGACTGAAAATGAGGAGGAAAGATTTATGAATAACATTTCATCGAGTGATGATAAAAGTAGTCTTGAATTATCAAAGTAAATGAGGTAAATTAAGTAATTATGTTTGTTAAATTACTATGTTTCTATGATTATTTATTTTGAGTTATCATAATTATTAACCATATTTTATAAAGATTATGGTATTCGTCTCTAAACATATATTGTGTTTGATTCAGATATGGCAGGTAAAAGTAATATGGGTGTTGCTTAGCATCCTGATCGGGGTAACACTCCTTCACCTACCGCTTCCACTTTGACCTCTACATTAGCTATAGTGCAAACCTCTTAGCCTAGGAAGCAAGAGCAATTTATCTTGGTGCCCAATCCTGGGTATGTTGCTCCTCCCCCTCCAGTACAACGAGTTTCACACTCTGCACTGCCTACTACACAGGTCACACAGTCTCCTTCTACACAGGGCATAGGAGAG